AGCGCACCCTGTGCCCCGTCCAGAGCCCTTCCCCATCTGGCTCCCTGGTGGACGCCATGTCCCAGAAGCACCTGCAGATCAACCAGACCTTCGAGGAGCTGCGGCTCATTACTCAGGACTCAGAGAATGAGCTCAAAAAGCTGCAGCAGACACAGGAATACTTCATCATCCAGTACCAGGAGAACATGCGACTCCAAGGTGGGTGGGGGGCCGAGGGGCATGGGCCTGGGGTGCTGGCAGGGCCAGCCCTAACACCATGCCCTGTCCCCCAGCCCAGTTCTCCCAGCTCTCCCAGCTGGGCCCCCAGGAGCGCATGTCACGGGAGACGACGCTGCAGCAGAAGAAGGCATCACTGGAGGCCTGGCTGCACCGTGAGGCCCAGACACTACAGCAGTACCGTGTGGTGAGTGATGCCACCTGGTGCCCCATGATGCTGTCCCCATGATGCCCTGTGACACTGTCCCTGCAGCCCTGATGTTGTCCCACCTTGCAGGACCTGGCTGAGAAGCACCAGAAGACGCTGCAGCTGCTGCGCAAGCAGCAAACAACCATCCTGGATGATGAGCTGATCCAGTGGAAGCGTCGGCAGCAGCTGGCGGGGAATGGGGGCCCACCTGAAGGCACCTTGGATGTGCTGCAGACCTGGTGAGTGCCTGGTGGGGTGGGATGGGATGGGACGGGGTGCTGAGCCCAGTGGGTGCTGAGCCCTGCTCCCCCCAGGTGTGAGAAGCTGGCAGAGATCATCTGGCAGAACCGGCAGCAGATCCGCCGTGCCGAGCACCTGTGCCAGCAGCTGCCAATCCCAGGCCCAGTGGAGGAGATGCTGTCAGAGCTGAATGGAACCATCACTGACATCATCTCTGCCCTGGTCACCAGGTACAGGTTGGGCCCAGCTGGGTGGGGGGACAGGTTGGCCCTGCCCTCCTTCCCAGCCCCCCTGATTCCCTTGCCCCCACCAGCACCTTCATCATCGAGAAGCAGCCCCCCCAAGTGCTGAAAACACAGACCAAGTTTGCAGCCACTGTGAGGCTCCTGGTGGGCGGGAAGCTGAATGTGCACATGAACCCCCCCCAAGTGAAGGCCACCATCATCAGCGAGCAGCAAGCCAAGGCCCTGCTGAAGAACGAGAGCACCCGCAAGTAATGCCAGGGGCTGGGGGTGTGTGGCTGGGGCTGCCATGGCAGTGGGGAGCAGGGGAAGGGCTGCACTTTGCACAGCTCCCAGTGCTGGTGTGCCCTGACTCCGTGTGCATTCCTGTGGCAGTGAGAGCAGCGGGGAGATCCTCAACAACTGCTGTGTGATGGAGTATCACCAAGCCACTGGGACACTCAGCGCCCACTTCCGCAACATGGTGAGTGCCCCCGTTCCCCGTCCTGTCCCCTTGTGTCCCCCTGTGTCCCCATCTGTTTCTCCATGCTCACCCCTGGTGTCCCTGCAGTCCCTGAAGCGGATCAAGCGCTCGGATCGCCGCGGGGCTGAGTCAGTGACAGAGGAGAAATTCACCATCCTCTTTGAGTCGCAGTTCAGCGTCGGTGGGAACGAGCTGGTCTTCCAGGTGAAGGTAAAGCCACTGTGTCCCTTCTGCAGGCCCTAGGCAAGCCATGGGCACTGTGCCCACGGGAGTGGGGCTGGGCTGGGGCCACATGGGTGCCCGTGGGTGATGCTCCCTTGGTGCCCCACAGCCCATTCCGGTCTCCTTCCTCTCGGCAGACGCTGTCCCTGCCTGTGGTGGTGATTGTGCATGGGAGCCAGGACAACAATGCCACGGCCACCGTGCTTTGGGACAACGCCTTTGCTGAGCCTGTGAGTGCCAGTGCCATGGGGGCACGACAGGCCCCATCTGCCTGGTGTGGGAGTAGGGCTCAGCCTCCTGGTGGGACATCAGGCAGAGCTGGTGCTGACCATGCTCTCTGCCCCCAGGGCCGTGTTCCCTTCGCTGTGCCTGACAAGGTGCAGTGGCCACAGCTCTGTGAGGCGCTCAACATGAAGTTCAAGGCAGAGGTGCAGAGCAGCCGTGGGCTGACCAAGGAGAACCTGGTGTTCCTGGCACAAAAGCTCTTCAACAGCACCAGCTCCCACCTGGAGGACTACAGCAGCACCACAGTGTCCTGGTCCCAGTTCAACCGGGTAAGTGGCCTGGGTTCTGCCCAGAGCCCCCCCAGTGCTCATGTTTGTGGGGCTGGATGGGGTGTACCCACCTGCTGTTCCTGAGTCTCTGCTGCTGCACCCAATGTCTGTGCTGTGTAACAGAGGCTCAGAGGCTGCTGACAGGAGTGCTCATTATCTGGAGATTTCAACAGGAAAACCTGCCTGGGAGGAATTATACCTTCTGGCAGTGGTTTGACGGGGTCATGGAGGTGCTGAAGAAGCATTTGAAGCCACACTGGAATGACGGGTAAGAGCCGCCCTGCCCTGTGCAGCCTGGCCCGAGCCCCAAGCCCTGACGCCCTACTCTGCCTAGGGCCATCCTGGGCTTCGTCAACAAGCAGCAGGCGCACGACCTGCTCATCAACAAGCCCGATGGGACCTTCCTCCTGCGCTTCAGCGACTCGGAGATCGGTGGCATCACCATTGCCTGGAAGTTCGACTCCTGTGAGTGTGTGCCAGGCACTGGCATCCCTGGATTGAGTGGCTCCAGCCAGGCCACCTCCTGCCCTTGGGGCACTGGCACTGCCACAGCAGGCAGGCTGGAGTTATCCTCAGGAAAGAGGCGAGCACCAGAGCCCCCAGAATGCCTTGGCTGTGCCATGGGGAGCGGTGCTGCCCTCGCTCACTGCAGCTGTGGCTGTGTCAAGCCCTGATGCTGGCAGCAGCAGGGAGGAGGGACCAGGCTGAACCCTCCAACCCAGCCCTGGGGAATGATGTGGACTGTACAAAATCCAGTTAGTTGGTGATGCTCCCCAGTGCAGGGGTTGCCAGGGGTGGCCTGACCCCATGCAGGAGTCTGTTGCTGTTCACAAGAGTGTCCTTTGGAGGGCCGCATAACTGAGAAGCACCAGAGAGCCCCATGGTTGGGGAACATGTCAGGATGAGGCCAGACCTGCCTTGGCTTTTCTGTGTTTCCTATCTTATCCCATTTTCTGGCGACCCATGCTTTATCCTCAGCTGTTTCTGGGGAGGGATGCAGTGTGGGACATGCTGTTTGCTACTTGATATGACCTCGCAGCCCCATCTCCAGAGCACAGCCAGGAGCTGCTGCAAACTCCGGGATTCACCATGATCCTCACGCTTGTCTTGCAGCTGAGAGGATGTTCTGGAACCTGATGCCTTTCACCACCAGGGACTTCTCCATCCGCTCCTTGGCTGACCGCCTCGGGGATCTCAGTTACCTCAACTACGTGTTCCCCGACCGGCCCAAGGACGAGGTGTTCTCCAAGTACTACACGCCGGTTCTCTGTGAGTCCACGCCAGGTAGCGCTGTCCCTTCACCCCACATGTGTCCCCTTTTTGTGCATCCAGCCAGGATGGAGCTGGTGTTCTCAGCCTCCCCCTGCCCCGGGGCCACACTGGCCCCACAGGGGTTCTGCATCTGGCCACGTGTGAGCCCCCAGCACTGCCTGGGGTCGTGGCATGTGTTGGAGTTTGGAGCCTCAGTGCTGCTTCCTTCTCTCTAGCTAAAGCTGTGGATGGATACGTGAAGCCACAGATCAAGCAAGTGGTGCCAGAGTAAGTGTGACCCCAAAGGGAGATCCTGGGCAGTGGTTGCCATGGGTTCCCAGCATTGAATTGGCTGGGTTGGGTGGCAGCCCAGGGCACTGAGGAGCTCATGGCCACCATCAATGGCCACATTGGTGCTGAGCCTTGTGAGACACCTTGGTGACTTCACCCACGGGGCACCCAGTGCTCATGAGACCCATCCCCACAGGTTTGTCAATGCATCAGGAGATTCTGCCCCTGGAGGGGCCACCTACATGGACCAGGCCCCCTCGCCTGCCGTCTGCTCCCAGCCTCATTACAACATGTACACCCAGAAGTGAGTATCACACCCCTACCCCTGTACTGCTGCAGCTGCTCCTCCCCTCACCGCCTGCCTCCCGCAGCCCCGACCCTGTGCTGGACCCCGAGGGTGATTTTGACCTGGAAGACACGATGGATGTGGCGAGGCACGTGGAGGAGCTGCTGCGGCGCCCCGTGGACAGTCAGTGGATCCCCCACGCCCAGTCGTGACAGGCAGGCGCCTGCTCCCTTGCCCCTGGCTCTGGCGCTGCGGGGACTGTGCTGTGTTCGTGTCTCTGTGCCAGGGGACAGCGGGTGGGCCCTGCCCTGCCCCCAGGATTTGCTCTGTGCTGCCCCGAAACACAGGCTGGCGTCCAGCTCTTTGGTGTTTATGCCCTTGTATAAACGGCAGCGGATTTGTCGCATGGTTTTTCTGTATGTTCCTTTTAAGAGGCCCAGCTTCGGCTTTCCGCTTCTGCCAGCACTGGCCCTGCAGCCCCTGACCCCCCTGTGGGGCTGCTGGGGGCCCCCAGCCCGGCCTCAGGTTCGCTTTTGCAGTCGTCACTAAGAATGTACATGTCGCCTTCTTGTTCTCCCCCGCGGCTCCGTTCCCAGGGCTGCGTGAGGCCAGAGGGCAGAGGAGGGGTTCTGCCAGGGCTCCCCCAGCCCGTGCCGGTGCTCTGCTCCACAGTGGCAGGGTCCCTGCACCTCATCCTCTCCTCTGCCCCCAAGGATGCAGGAGCTCCTCCGGCTCCCGGCCTCGATGTCCCCTCTGGAGCCGGTGCAGCGCGAGGGTGGCAGGGTGTGAGGGCACCCAGCGAGGGCAGTTGGGTGGGCAGGGGGTTTGGGGGAGCGGAGCCCTCTGCCCGCTGCTTCTCCCCTCGCCTGGGCGGGAAACTCTGGGGTCCTGGCCATGTTATTTTTCTATCACAGAGTAAATAAAGCACGGAATATTTTTGTAACACAAAAGCTCTGGGTGCCACGTGTGTCTTGGGACAGAGGCGGGTCCCTCTGGGGAGCTCCTCATCTCGGGTGCACCAGGTGAATGCTGGGGCTGGGCCCGGTGTTCAGGGTTCCTATCCCCGAGGGCAGGGTCGTCGGGCCTCTCTTGGCACAAGCTGGGCGGATCCGGGAGGCTCTGTCCGGGCGGGAGGGCTGCCCTGAGGAGCAGGGGCTGGGCTGGGGTTGGGGCAAAAAGCAAAGTAAACCGGATCAATAGCTCTTGTTTTTCCCAAGAAAGAGCTTGCTCTTGATGGAGGGGTAGAGGGCGCTGGTACTGGGGGTTCAGTTGCGGTTGAATTCCCCGCCGAGCTGGGGGCCCGGGGTGCGCTGTGTAAAGGTGAAAATGAAAATAAAACAGGAGCGGGGAGGGGGGCGGCGCCGGGCGCGATAAATCTCCGTCATTTCTGCCGGAGGCGGAATAGCCGGCGTGGGTGAGAGGGTCCGGGGCCGGCTCCCTGCCCGGGGCGGTGTCTGCATTCCACGATGCTGGTGGCGCTGGTGGCCCTGGCCGTGGCCGTGGCCGTGGCCATGGCTGTCCCCGCGCTACGGCACCGCTTAGTCCGTGCCGCGCTGCGCCGCGCCGGGGACCGGTACCGGCGGCGGCTGGAGGCTCTGGACAGCGACGTGCGGCTGAGGCAGGAGCGGCGGCTGCGGCGCCTGCTGGGCACCGGCACCGGCACGGCCGGCGGTGAGCGCGGGGCTGCGGGAAGCGGCGCGGGAAGGGGTCGGTCCCGCGGTCCCCCTTCTGAGTTTGTGCCTCTCCCTGCAGGCTGGGAGGAGTTCCAGGAGCAGCATCCCCTGGGGCAGCCCTGTCGGGACGAAGCGCCGGGCGTTCCGCCTTCCCCGCTGCCTCTCTGGGCTCTGCTCCCCAGCTGCTGGGACACCGACCCCCGGCTGCAGGTACGGGGAGCGGCGGGCGGGGTGGGCGCGGATCCCGCAGGGTCTGCCCTCCTGACCCGCCCTCCCCCGCAGGGCTCCGTGCTCTACCTGGATGCTCTCGGCGCCGCTTTTCCACGGGCTCTGACCCGCCGGGGCACGGCCGTGCTGCACTGGAGCCCCGGTTGTCCCCGCGCCCCGGCGGGGTGGCCGCTGCCCACCCTGTACTGCACCCCGGCCGCGGCGGCCGTGCTGCCCTCTCGGGCCGCAGCGCTGCGGCTGCAGCTGCTCTTTGCCCTGCGGCAGCGTGCCCTGCATGTGCTGGAGGCCGGGCTGGCAGCCGAGCTGCACGACGCGCTGCTGACCCTGCGCACTGAATGGCCCCGGCTGGCCCAGGAGCTGGAGCTGGGCAGGCTGAGCCCGCAGCCCGGGCTGCCCGAGGAGCTGCGGGAGCAGCTGCAGGCACTGCTGAGCCCTGCTGTTGCCCGGGCGGCCGAGATCCGTGATCAGTGTGCCCATGGCTTTGAGGGCATCGCGTTGCGGCTGTGGCCGCGGCTGGAGGTGGTGGTGGTGAGGACGATGCGTGGCACAGAGCGGCTCTACTGCGACTCCCTCCGCCAGGCCGACTGCCGGGGGCTGCCCTTCTACTGCCCCTTCTACCAGGCAGCAGGAGGTGAGTGTCCCCCACGCTGGCTGTGTCCCCAGGGTGCCCAAAGGGAGCTGCTGCCACATGGCAGCACAGATCTCCCTGCCCCAGCACATGCTGGTGCCTCTCTGTGCTGCATTCCCTTCCTGCAGCCTGAAAACACCTCAGTCCTGGCACCAGCAAAATTCTGCCCCTTGCAGAGGGGTGAGGCAAGGATGGGGGGGTCTGGGGAGCTCACATTGCCACGTGCTGCCTCTGCCCAGCCCTGCTTGGTGTGAACCTGTGGCCAGCAGAGCCAGTGCCCCGATTTGTGCTATGCCCTGATTGGGCTTTCTGCGAGTTCCTGCCCTGCCTGGCCAGCAAGGAGCCACGGACGGTGCTGCTGGATGAGCTTGGGGAGGGCCGTGAGTACGGGCTGGTTGTGACAGCCCAGCCAGGAGAGTACAGGTGCCTCCTCCCTGCTGTGTAGCCCTGGGGGCTGCCTGCCCCAGCCCCATGCACCCATCTCCCCCTCACACCCCCCTGCCCTGCAGGTGCCGTACTGGGGAGGTGCTGAAGGTGACCGGCTTCCACAAGCAGTGTCCTGTGGTGGAACCTGTGCGCAGGTGAGGACACCCCAATGCCTGTCCCTCACCTCAGGGAGCTGGGTTACACGCAGGGTTTGACAGGAGGCTGCCAGTGACCCACCCTGTGTCCCTGCACCTCAGGGAGAGCGAGACCCTGAGCGTGCGAGGTGAGAGCATCCCTGAGGAGCAGTTCTGCCAGAGCCTGTGCCGCACCCTGAGCCTGTGGCCGGGTGCTCGCCTGATTGACTATGTCTGTGTGGAGAGCAGCCTGCTGGGTGAGTTCCCCTGAGCTGTCCAAGTCCTCCTAAAAGTGTAGCTGGCACTGCACAGGGGTCTGCAGCCCTCCTGTTCCTGCAGCACAGCAAGCTGGGAGCTTTAACCTACTCTGGTTCTGCTCCAGGTGACTCTTCAGGGCCCTGTGCCCCTCACTACGAGGTGTTCCTGGAGCTGCAGGGCCTGCGGGACCTTTCAGAGGTGCAGCGCTACAAGGTGAGCAGGACACGGGCTCTGCTCTGGGGCTGAAGGATGCTGCTGTGGCAGAGTGGGACCAGCACAGGCAGCTGCCCTCTCTTTGCAGCTGGACCAGTGTCTCCAGGAGGATTTCCCCATCTACAAATCCTTCCGCTTCAAGGGCAGCATTGGGCCCCTGCGCCTGCACCTGGTGAGGCCCAGGAGCTTCACCCGGCTGCGGGAAGCCCTGGGCTCTCCCATGCCCATGCCCAGGGTCCTGCGTGAGGAGCAGCTGCTGCAGCTCATCCAGGGAGCAGTCATCTCCTAGGGCAGCCTTGGGGCCCCACAGCCCTTCCTCCCTGGCATGCACCCTCTGAGGAGGGGCCGTGTCCCTGGGGTGGGAGGGCGTGGGGACAAGGGTGCTCATCCCCAAGGGTTTGGCTGAGTGGAGCAAATGGAGACAGTGAGCTTGACCATGATCCGTGGCAGCAGCTGGCACCATTCAGTGCTGCTGTGGAGGTGGAGCAGGAGCTTGGGAGCCTCAGGGGGCAGCTGCAGGACCCCCTCACTCAGTGCCTTGGCAGCACCTGCAGCCACAGCGGAGTGTATGCCTTTCCTAAGGGACCACTGTGCACCACAGCCCATGGCTGAGGTAGAGGGCTCTGTGGAAGCCTGCAGGAGCAGGAGGAGCAGAAGAGCCGTGCCTCATCACTGAGCACTGGGGCCCTGGGGCATTTTGTCCCCTGGCAGGGACACTGCAGGCAGGGCTCAGGGGGCTGCTGGTGGCAGGTGTCACAGAGCAGCCCCAGCTGGGCTTCAGTGCATGTCCACTGGTTGAAAAGTAAGCTCCGGTGAGGGCTGCTTTTAATGTTTTGAAAACCAAATGCAAAATAAAGGAGGATTATCTTTTTGAAATAAATAAAAGACTGCACTCTGGGATTGATTTTTTTAGACTATTATTTTTAATCTTCATTAAAGAGATTGCTCTAGCAATCTGACTGCTCTGGGGGCTGAGGAGTTGCTGCTGTTCTCAGGGGTCCTGGGGAAGGGGCAGCCATGAATATTTAACCAGCTGAGCCCTCTGGGGGCACCAGGCTCTTTGTGCCTTTGAGGCACATGTGTACCATCGGGAGGGATTGGTCATTTCCCCTCCTGCTCATTAAGGGTTATTTCCAGGGCTGGTGAGGGCGTGTGGGGCACCTGCTGTGCCGCAGCAGCTGCTGGTGGGCAGGAGATGATGTCTCGAGCAAGGCTCACACAAAGCAAAGCATCCCCCACCAGGGATGAACCTGGCTGAGGCCTGCTGGAAAAACCTGGAGCAAAATTTCTGCTCCAGGTCGGGGAGAGGCTTTGCCTTGGGCTGGGAGCACGCCACAACAAAAGCCTCGAGCTCCCTGCGAGGCAGAGCCGTGCGGGGCCGGGGCTGCGCTGGGCGGCTCTGCTTGCCCTGCCATGCCTGGGTACCACCCCGGTGGGAGGGGAGGTTCCTGGGGTGGGACCCGCTGGGCAGGGCCAGGCTGCTGAGTGCCCGGCTGGCTCTGGATGCCAGGCTGCAAGGTCGATTTGAGTGCCCGGCTGCAGGGAGCAGCTTGTTTGGGGTGCAGGCTCATTTGTGCTGCCGCTACCAAGGCTGGAGGGTGCGGGTGCCCGGCTGAAGGGTGCCAGGCTGGGTTTGCGTGCCCGGCTGCAGGGTCGGCCGGGGTCCCACCGGGATGGGGCGGCTGCCGGGCCCGGGCGCTGCGGTGCTGGGCGGAGGCCGGGGATGCCCCGGCGGTGGAAGATGCCGGTGCTCGGTGCCCGTCAGCGTGCCCCGCCGCCGCATCCCGGGGCGAGGGGGCCGCACCGTCCCCGTCCCCGTCCTCGTCCCCATCCCCGCCGCGTCCCCGCCCCCGGCCCGGCCCGTCCCCTCCTCCCGGCCGCGCCGCCTCCCGCCCGCTCCGCCACTGAGCCCGCAGCGGCGGCGGCGGCGGGCGCAGGCTCCGGGCGCCCCGGGGCCCCGCGGCGGCCGCTGCCCTGAGGCCGCGGGGGATGGCGGAGGGGCCCCGGGGCGCTCCGCCGCCGGGCTCGCCCCGCCCCGCCGCGCCGCTGCCCAACGGGCCCCGCGGCGGCGGCGGCGGCGGCGGCGGCAGCCCCGGCTCGGGCTCGGGCAGCAGCAGCCGCGAGGACTCGGCGGAGCGGAGCCCCGCGCCCGCCGCGCCCCGGGCCAGCATCATGAAGGTGAGAGCCCCGCACCGGCACCGCACCGGGCCGGCCCCCCCGCGCCCCGGGCCCGGCACCTGCGCAGCGCGGGGGTGCCGAGCCGTGCCCCGCGCCGAGCCCCGCGTCCCCCCGCACCCGCTCTGACCGCCGCTCCTCGCTCGCCCGGTGCCCGTGCAGCGGCTCCGAGGAGCTGCAGAGCAGCCGCATCCCCGGGCGACCGAGGGTCGCCACCTGCCCGCGGTGCTGGTCACACCGGGACTGACAGAGCGTCCCCGCGCCCTGCCCGGACCCAGGGTCCCCAAGGGCACGGTCTGGCCCGGCCCGGCTCTGTGGAGTGTCCGTGGGTCGCGCTGTCAAGTGCCACGGCCACGCTGCAGCATCACCCGCTCCCGCTCAGGACACCCCTGGGTTCCCGTGAGGAGATGCCCGCTCCAGCCCCTCGAGCAGCTTCTGCTCTCCCGGGCTCTCCTGACAAACGCTGAGCCTCGGGCCTGGCCTGAGCAGCTTGCAGTCTGCTCCCAACACCTGGTGCTGGTGCTGCCGGGCCGTGCTGGCGCCGGGCTCCAGGGAGGGTCTCGGGGGTCCCCCACCTGGGTGGGCAGCGGATCACACGTGTGCTTTCCTAAATGAACGCCCCTGATTGTGCTGATGCCAGCGGTACTCGCTGACACAATAGGTCACGTCCGCCCGGGACTCGCCTCCCTGCTCCCGGCAGCCTATTTTAAGCTGGGATTGCTCCGGTGCTATTAATACCCCGTGAGGGGGCTGTTTCCGTGGTGCCCCAGCCCCACTGTTCCGTCCCTGGGATCCAGTTTTCTGGGCAGCAGTGTCAGGACCCCGAGTTCTGCCCGGGCTCTCGCTGCAAACTGTTGCGGGGGCGGCCGGGCTGTGCCCACGCGGGGCGGGCACGGAGCTCTGCCGGTGCTCCCGTGCAGCCGGAGGCTGCTGCCAATGCTCCGTCTGTGCCCGCCTTCCTCGGGGACACTGCCAGCGTCTCCTGCCCCTCCCGGGACGGAGCAGCATCCTTCCCTGCCCAGGGACCATCCGTGGGCACGGCGGGCTGGGGGTGCTGAACCTCTCGCTTGCTGCCGGGCCGGGCACATCGCTGTCACCACCTGCGTCACCGCGGGATGTGGCCTCACGTGAAGGTCGGGTGGCCCAGGGTCAGGGCTGGCCCGGGGGGATGTCTGACCCGAGCAGTGTTCCCAGCTTGTGCTGATTCCTTGTGCACCTCCGAGTCCATCCGGGGCCTGAGAGGCAGCGAGGCACATGTGGAAAGAGCTGCCGGCTCTGTTGTTTTTTGGGATTTCCAGAAAAGGCTGGAGGAGTGAATCTGAAAGTGCGACTCACAGGAGGGCCTGGGGCAGCGGGGCTCAGAGCTGGCCCCTGCAGTGTCCCTGTGCCCTGGCTAGAGGACCTGCTCCCTTCTTTCTTCTCAGCCTGAAAGCAGAGCGGGCTGGTGGTCCTGCGGGCGGGGAGGATGCTGGAGAGGGCATTGAATCTGCAGGATGTGTCCCTTCCCCAGTATTGTGCTGTTCTGTCCCCTGAGCCCCCTTCCCATCGTGTGCCAGCCCCGGGAGCTCTGTGGTGCCTCTGCCGGGATCTGACTCCATGGCCCCTCGCCGGGAGTGGCAGCTGGTGCCGCGGGGGGTGGATGTGTCAGTCGCTCTCTTCTTGGCAGGGAACAAACGACGGTAGAAAAGCCCTGGCTGTGCCTGGTCTCCCACTGCCTCAGCTCCGGGGCTGCTGCCTGCCTGCACCCCTGCCCACGCTGCCCACACTGGGACAGGGGTGGCGGGGACACCCGGGACCTGGGGAATTCAGCTGCAGATGAATCACACCAAGGCCAGACCGGGGGATAAAGGGGAGGGAGGGACAACTGATGGGCTCCTCTCCATCCCGTGCTTTGAGATGGGGATGTGTGGCCGGTAAGCGTGGCTGTCACGTGGAGGCTGAGATTAGGGCATCAGCACTCACCAGGGCACTAATGCAGGAGATAATTGGCTGAAGAGGTGCTTAACACATGCTGCAGAGCTGGGCAGGACAGGCAGCTGGGCTGGAACGTGCCCTCCGTGCGAGCCCACGCTCACCACTGGCATCGCGGCTGGCATCGCTGCCGTCGTCTGTACTTTGAGCCCTGCCTACTCCCTGCCAGCTCGGTGGCACTGCGAGCAGGATCCCTGCTCTGCCTGGAGCTCTGCCCTCTGTCTGGGGGTGTTCCATGCTGTCATGGCCATGGGTGCTGTGTCCTTCCTGCTCCACTGCTGCCTCACCCATCACCTGCCTGCGCTGCTCCTGCAGCGCCTCGCCAGCACTTGTGGGCTGTGCCCCGGCTTGAAGATCCCCTGGAACAGCCTGGAAGCGGCTGCCAGGGAGCAGAGACTGTTCCCTGCCATCCCCCAGGCTGCACTGAGGAGCGTAGGGCAGCTGCAGACGGGAAACTCCTCGCATCCCCTGCTCGCTGCTTGCCCGTGCAGGGGGAGAAGCAGAACCTGCAGGGCGCTCTCGGGTCTTGCCGCACATCTGCACCCCAAAGTGCTGCAGCGGGCACCACATGCCCTACCTGAGCCTGGCAGGGCGGGGGTCTGCAGGGGGGGCGTTTGGGCTTTCATCCCGAGCCAGGGCGCTCGGGGGACGGCTGGGGTGTGTGTGGCTGCCTGCAGCGGGCACAGCTGGAGCAGGTCCGTGCCGCTGGGTGCAGGCAGGCCCCCCGCCCGTGTTTCCTTTCCGGATGGATTTCCTGTTTTCAGCTGTGGGGCCCGGTGCGGAGCGGCGCGGGGTGGGTGCGCCGGGCGGGGAGCGGGTCCGCGAGGGGCGGGGGTCCGCGAGGGGCGGGGGTCCGCGAGGGGCGGCCCTCGGTGTCCATCGGAGGGGCTGCGGCTGCCTCTCGGCGGGGCGCTCAGATTGCAGCGTGCAGGAAGCATCCGGCGTCCAGTCCTTCCCCGCAGGGCTGGCCGATGGCAGGACCTGCCGCTGAGCGCCTGCCGACCCGGGATGGCTGGCACCGAGGCAGAGTCCTGGAGCTCGGCCAGCTCCCTGGAGCAATCTGGCGGCGAGAGGATGCCAACAGCCACCACATCCGAGCTCCAGGATAGGAGGATGTGCCTGGCTCTAACAAGGGGCTGAGGGCTGGTGCTGGTTCCTCCTTCCCTGGGCCTTTGTGTCCCGGGCGTCCTTGGAGGATTCCCCATTACCTGGGGAAACTGTACATCCATTTGTGTGACTTATCCACATGCCCTTGGCTGTGACTGCCTGACCCCGTGGGGCAGATCCCAAGCCTACAGGACCAGGCATGGGATGTGCTTGCCCTGTGTGGGAGCTGTGGAAGCTCTCAGAGCACTGGAGGGGAGCAACCCCTCACCTCCAACCTGGGCGGCTGAGCAGGACCTGCCTGTGACAGAGACACCACCAGATTAGAGGTGACTCACCATAATCTTGAAGAAGTGGATTAAATCTCCTCCTACTGTGCTACTTAATGAAATCCATCCCATAATACACTCCTGGCCCTGCTGTTCCCCCTTATCCCCTGCCAGCCCCGTGGCAGCTGGGTCCCCCCTCCCTGTGGTGAGGCAGGGCAGAGTGTGGGCACGAGGTGCTGGCAGCAAACAGCCCATGCCATGGTGACCCTGTGCTCTGTGGGACACGGCCGTGGTTGTCCCCAGCACGTGGCACTGGCAGGGGCAGTCCTGCCCCGCTCCTCACAGAAGAGTGGGGGGTCTCTCTTGGGCTCCCTAGGAGCAGCTCTGCTGGTGCATCACACGCTGGGTTGTCTGTTTTCCTCTGCTCCCCAGGCCAAGGAGACAGGGGCTGTGCTGGTTGGCTGTGCCTGTGAGGGTGAGCAAGCAGCGGGGAAGGATCCAGCTCAGGGCCAGGAGCAGGAAGGAAGGAAGGAAAGCAGAGTTAAAATAAGCCAGGCAATGAGCTGTGAGGGAAGCAAGGGCTGGAGCTGGCTCCCAGCCCCCAGAAGAGGGGCGGACTGGAGTGGACTTGGCTCAGCGTGGTGCTGGGGCAGTGCTGGGGTGGGGGCACCATGGGGCAGGAGGATGCCAGGAGCTGCTGGGGCGTGTGCTGCTGCCTGGCTGTCCCTGACTGATGGCTCTGCCCCTTTCCCACCCTGGCAGGATGGCTCTCGGCAGCGGCCCCCACACAAGAAGAAGACAGTGTCCTTCAGCTCCATGCCCAATGACCGCAAGATCAACAGCACAGCTGCCTGCATCTCCCTGATGCTGGAGGGCTGCGAGCTGAAGAAGGTGCGCTCCAACTCCCGCATGTACAGCCGCTTCTTCGTGCTGGACGCCGACATGCGCTCCGTGCGCTGGGAGCCCTCCAAGAAGGACTCAGAGAAGGCCAAGATTGAGATCAAATCGGTCAAAGAGGTGAGGGTGGGCAAGAAGACGCCAGTCCTGCGCAGCAATGGGCTCTCTGACCAGTTCCCCGACGAGTGCGCCTTCTCCATCATCTACGGGGACAACTACGAGTCCCTGGACCTGGTGGCCAGCTCGGCAGATGTGGTGAGTGCCTGGGTGATGGGGCTGCGCTATCTGGTGTCCTATGGGAAGCACAGCCCTGAGGCACCTGGGACTGGCCACCCCAGCCTCCGGACGTCCTGGATCTCCTCTGTCTTTGACCTGGCTGACCTGGAGAAGTCTGGCCGCATCCCCGTGTCCCGGGCCGTGCAGCTGATCAAAGCACTCAACCCTGGCATGAAGACGTCCACCATCGAGCTGAAGTTCAAGGAGCTGCAGAAGGCCAGCGAGCGTCCTGGCACGGAGGTGGCCTGTGACCTCTTTGTGGAGGCGTACTGCGAGCTCTGCACCCGCCCTGAGATCTTTTTCCTGCTGGTCCAGTTCTCCAGCAACAAGGAATACCTGGGTGTGAAGGACCTGCTGATGTTCCTGGAGGTGGAGCAGGGCATGGAGGGGGTGACAGAGGAGAAGTGCTTGGAGATCGTCAGCAAGTACGAGCCCTCCAAGGAGGGCCGGGAGAAGGGCTACCTGGCCATCGATGGCTTCACACGTTACCTGCTCTCTGCTGACTGCTCCATCTTCGACCCCCAGCACCGCAAGGTCTGCCAGGACATGGCTCAGCCCCTCTCCCACTACTACATTAGCTCTGCCCACAGCGCCTGCCTGCTGGAGGACAACTTCTGGGGCCGCTCAGACATCAGTGGCTACATCAGTGCCCTGGGCTTGGGCTGCCGCAGCATTGAGCTGGTGCTGTGGGATGGCCCCGAGGGTGAGCCTGTGGTCTACACCAGCCCCTCGGCTGCCTCCTGCGTGCCCTTCCGTGCCGTGGTGGGGCTGATCGACCAGCACGCCTTCACTGCCTCCGCCTACCCCCTCATCCTGTGCCTGGTGGTGCGCTGCTCGGCCCCCCAGCAGCGGCTCGCCGCCCAGTGCCTGCGCAAGACCCTCGGCGAGAAGCTGTACCTGGAGCCCCCCAACCCCGTGGCCTCGTACCTGCCCTCCCCGGAGGAGCTCAAGGGCCGCATCCTCATCAAGGGCAAGAAGCTGCCGCCCACCTGCGAGGACAGCGAGGGGGAGGTGTCGGACGAGGAGGAAGGCTGGGAGCTGGCGCGGAGATTGGGCCAGGAGGACCGGGAGGCACCGGAGGGAGGCGGCCTGAGGCGGGTGCGCCTCAGCCGTGAGCTCTCGGAGCTGGTGAGCCTCTGCCAGGCTGTGCCCTTCCAGGACTTTGAGAGCTCCAGGCGTGGGCAGCGCTACTGGGAGATGTGCTCCTTCAGCGAGGTGGAGGCGGGACGCTTCGCCAACGAGTGTCCGGCCGAGCTGGTCAGCTACAACAAGCGCTTCCTGTCCCGCGTCTACCCCAGCCCCATGCGCATCGACGCCAGCAACATGAACCCCCAGGACTTCTGGAAGTGCGGCTGCCAGATGGTGGCCATGAACTACCAGACCCCAGGGCTCATGATGGACCTGAATGCGGGCTGGTTCCGGCAGAACGGCGCCTGTGGCTACGTCCTCCGCCCGGCCATCATGCGGGAGGAGGTCTCCTACTTCAGTGCCAACGCCAAGGACTCCCTGCCCGGCGTGCCTGCCCAGCTCCTACACCTCAAGGTCATCAGCGGGCAGAATCTCCCCAAGCCCAAGGGCTCGGGGGCCAAGGGGGAGGTGGTGGAGCCCTACGTGTGTGCTGAAATCCACGGCATCCCGGCTGACTGCGCCGAGCACCGCACCAAGACCGCCCTGCAGAGCGGGGACAACCCCATCTTCGATGAGAGCCTGGAGTTCCAGATCAACCTGCCGGAGCTGGCCGTGCTGCGCTTCGTCGTGCTGGACGACGACTACATCGGGGACGAGTTCATTGCCCAGTACACCATCCCCTTCGAGTGCCTGCAGCCTGGCTACCGCCACGTCCCCCTCCAGTCGCTGGCCGGGGAGCCCCTGCCCCACGCCACCCTCTTTGTGCACGTGGCCATCACCGACCGCCGTGGCGGGGGCAAGGGGCACCGCCGGGGGCTGGCGGGGCGCCGGGGCCGCCGGGTGAGGGAGTACACCTCCACCAAGGCCACTGGCATCAAAGCCATCGATGAAGTCTTCAGGACGGCCACCCAGCCGCTGCGGGAGGCCACGGACCTGCGGGAGAATGTGCAGGTAGGACCCTGCAGAGGCAACAGGGGACCTGGTTTCTTCAGGGGAGGATGGGGCTGTCCCCCTTTTCCTGGGGGACGTGAGTGAGGAGCCTTACCTGGAGCAGAGAGCTGTGGGAAATGGGGGAGTTCCTGGGGGTCCTCCCATCTGAACTCCTGACACTGGCCACTGGTCTCTGCAGAATGCGTTGGTGTCCTTCAAGGAGCTGTGTGGGCTGACACCCGCTGCCAACATGAAGCAGTGCATCCTGACGGTGTCCACATGGCTGCTGCACAGTGACAGCGCGCCCAGCGTCACCCTGAACCTGGCAGAGCAGTACCCACCCATGGAGGCCCAGGGGCCCATCCCCGACCTGCTGCGCAAGGTCCTCACTGCCTACGAGACGGTAAGTGCCACCCTGCCAGGGCCTGGCTCCTTGGGGAGGCTCCCTGGCATCACTGGCACTGGCACCAGCACCCACGGCTGGTGCAGGTTTTATGGGATGAACCTGAGTAGGTTTTATGGGATGAACCCAGGCAGGTTTTGTGGGATGGGTCAGAAGGTCCAAGGATGGGGAACCCTGAACTCCCTGTACCCATTCTGGGGCAGGGGGCTGCATGGGGGCTGCCCGGGGAGGAATCTTGCCAAGGCACAGGCTTGCCCTGATCAGTCTGACCCTGGGACACTGCAGCCCCTACCCTGTGCCTGCACTGCCTGTGCCTTGCCCTGATCCCACCAGGTGGGAGAAATCCCATTAATAGCCGCAGCCAGAGCTGCTTCCTTCTTTTGTGTTGAAGGGAACCTGGCCATTGGCCACGTGCTGGTCACACCATACCCGTGTGGGGTGAGGAGGGAAGGGCCAGACCCCGGGCACTGTGCTGGTTCAGGGGCAGCCCCTGCTTGCCCTGTGTCCCCTTCCACTTGGCCAGGGGACACAGGGCCAGGGCTGCCCAGCTGCTCACGTTGCCCCTCTCCCTAGATGATCCAGACCAGCAGGACCCTGATCGAGTCTGCCGACGCCGTGTACGGGAAGCTCATCCAGGCACAGCAGGCAGGTGGGTCCTGGAGAGCAGCCCCAGCTCCACCACGGCTCTGGCACGTCCTGGGGGGCTCAGGGCTTCCTGCACTTGGGCAGGCTGTGGGTGGGTGGGCTGCAGAGCTGTGTGGTAGGGAGCAAGCAGAATGGGGGAGGCTGATGAGGAAGCGGGGAAGAGTCATTAGCTGTCAAACGCCAGAACATAATTAGTGCCAGAAATAACAGGCTGGGGCTGACAGCAGAAATGGCAACTGAGTGTTAAGACTTCCCAAACACATGGCAGAACCCACACAGGCAGGTGCTGCTGCTGCCTGCCCTGGTCCTCCCTGCAGGTGCCCCCACTTTGGCAGCTGCCTGGGACCTCTGGCCCCACTGTTGGCTGGGACCCCACAGGAACAGTGCCCCCAGCTCCAGGAGCTTCTGTGGGCTCCCTGTGGGGCTGGGAGAGTGTCAGGAGCTGGAGAGGCTTGGGAAGAAGAAGAGAGCCCTGCTCTGCTGTCCCTGCCATGCCAGCCCTGCTGCCAGCAGCCGTGTTTGTTCCCTGCCCACGCTGCAGATGGAAATCTCCCCAAACTCTTGGCTCAGCTCTGCCACTGCTGCCAGCCCTGGGGGAGAGGAGCAGTGGGGCACAAGCTGCAGGGCACAGATTGGTGCTGTGCCCTCCTGCATTGCAGGAGCAGAGGCACTCTGGGCTGTGCAGCCCCTCGGGGTGGTGGCAGGCAGCAATTTGGCAGCTGCAGCCCCCAGCCCCGTGCCCTGGTGGTGCCTGCTTTCACCCTGGCCGTGCTGGGGACGAGCTGCTGTGGTGCTGGTACCCGGCTGGCAGGAGCTGGGCCCCGGGGAGCTGCAGGGCTGTGGGCGGGCTGATTGGCAGCACCGGGGCGAGGGAGCTGCGTGGGAGCCCTGGCGTGGGCCCCGAGCCGCTGCTGCGTCACCAGGGGTAAATATAGCACCCACCCAGGGGGTGGGGCGCAGCCATGGGGGGCTCTGAATCCCCCCCAGATGAGCCATGGAGGGCAGGGGTTGTGCCTCTGCCCAGGGTCTTCACTGCCCTTCCAGACCCCGTGGTGTCTGGGTCCAGAAGGGCCCCAGGGTGCAGCTGACCGTGGTGCTGGGATGTTGGGGGGTCCCATCATTTCAGGCATGGAGGATTCCTGAGGCTGCTGGGGCAGTGGGGAGCCCACCCAGCCTGCAATGGGCAAAGGGCGTCCCTCTGGCTTGGTCCCTGTTGGCTGTGGGTGGTGGTTGTCCCCGTGCCAATGTCCCTGCACGCCCTGAGCACCTCTGCCGTCAATCAGGGATGGATTTCCACAAGGAGCTGCACCGCATCGAGACCAAGGAAGGGCTGCGGGGCCGCAAGCTGCAGAAGGCGCTGGAGAGCTTCGCCTGGAACATCACTGTCCTCAAGGTGAGGGGCGAGGGCTGCGCGGACAGCCCTTCCCTTCCCTTCCCTTCCCTTCCCTTCCCTTCCCTTCCCTTCCCTTCCCTTCCCTTCCCTTCCCTTCCCTTCCCTTCCCTTCCCTTCCCTTCCCTTCCCTTCCCTTCCCTTCCCTTCCCTTCCCTTCCCTTCCCTTCCCTTCCCTTCCCTTCCCTTCCATCACCCTCCTGCCTCCACCCCACCACAGCCCCGCTATCTCCTGCCCCAGGGCCAGGCTGATCTCCTCAAGCAGGCCAAGGCGGAGGCTCTGGACAACCTGTGGCAGATCCACAACGCGGGGCAGTCCTGCGGCATCGGCAGGAACGGATCAGCCTCGCCCGAGCCCTCCCGGCTGCAAGCCCCGCTGGAGCCGATCCCTGAGACAGACGGAGGTGGCGACACAGCGTCCTGCTGACCCCGGTCTGGGGCTCGGGGCCCGGACTGAGCAGCCCTGGCCGCAGGGGCCGGGGGCAGGGAGCCCCAGCCTGCCTGGGCAGTGTCTGTGAGGCCGGGTGCTCTGCCCTGCTGAGGGGCTTGCTCCAGAATTCAGTGGAGAGCTTGAGGAGAGATGTCTCTGCTCCCTCTTGCCCTGCCAAAGCTCCCCGAGGACTCATCCGTCCCCTCCATCTGCTTCTGGAGCCAGATCTCTGCTGAGGGGCCAGGGGGGATGCTGGTACCCCAGTACCCGTGTGCATGTACCCACAGCCTGCTGTGCCACTTGGAAAAGCAGCCCCAGCTCTGGGCTCCTGCCACCCTCCCCAGGGCTGCAGGTTTGGCCTCCACTGGCCCTGGGGAAAACTTGGCTGGCAGAAGGATCCTGGCTGCTCCTGTCACCTCCACGGCATTCCTGGGGTCCCCAGTATGCAGAGGGACTGGGAGGCTCTCTGGTGCAGCAGATGTAGGGCCAGGGTGTCCCTGAACAGCAGATGTGGCTTCTGGCATCAGGGAAATGTTTGGGTTCATCCCCAGGGCATGGGAGCTCAGCACAAGCAAAGGCTGGAGGTGCTCTGGGGTCAGGCTGGGGCTGTGGAGTGTCATAAAGAGTGCAAGAGCCTCCCTGGTGCCCTGTGGCTCCCTCTGTTCCAGGAACAGCACCACAATGGGATGCAGCACAGCACAAAAGAGATGGAGGGTGGCATTATCCCTGCCTGTCATCGGGTACAGGACCCTGGTGGCACTATCCTTCCCTGGCACTGGCACAGGACCCTGGGGCACTATCCCTCCCTGGTACAGGACCCTGGTGGCACTATCCCTCCCTGGCACCTGGTACAGGACCCTGGTGGCACTATCCCTCCCTGGCACCAGCCGAGCACAGGGTGACAGCTCCCCACGTCAGTCAGGGAGCTGTGTAGCTGCTGGCACCCCTTTGTTCAGGGGGTTAATTAGCCTAACCCTTTGTTCGGGGGGTTAATTAGCCTAATGGGGCTCTGAGCAGCGGCCAGCTCTGACCTTCAGCCCCTTTGTGCCAGCCCAGCAGCGCGGCCCGTGGGCAATTATGGCCTCATTAGTGCCAAGCGCCCCTTGCAGTGAGCACCCTCACAATGGGGAGCTGCAAATGAGGGGAAAGGCCTGGATGGTCTCCGGGCTACCACGTCTCCCAGACAGCGCTGCTCCCGCTGGCCCAGGTATTTTTGGCAGCCCCATTGTGCCGGGCCCTATAAAGTGGCAGTGGCAGTGTAGGGTGCCGTGCTGCTGGCTGCCCGATGGGACATGCCCCAGAGCTGCTCGGCCACATGAAGACCCCAGCAAGGATGGAGGTGCCAAACACCAAGGTGGGGCTGGGGTGCTGCAGCCCCTGGGGATGAGAGATCAGTGATGGGTGGGAGGTTAGAATGTTGGGCTGGGGGTGTGGGAGGGCCTGGCTGGTTTCTTGGGAAGCTCCAAGAGTGCAGCAAATCCCTGGGAATCCCTGACTGATGAGGGGAATACTTGGGAGGGGAGCTGGGCATGCAATTCCTGCAGCATGGGTGCTTTCAGTGCTTGTCCTGTAGCACTGGGCAGCGAGAGGAGGGAGTTTGTGTGCTGGAGCAGGGCAGTCAAGGGTGAGGACACCCACATCTGGCTGGGACACGGGTGAGGTGCAGGGCAGGGGTGTGGTGAGCACACCCACATCTGGCTGGGACACAGGTGAGGTGCAGGGCAGTGAAAGGTGAGCAGGTGAGCACACCCACATCTGGCTGGGACACGGGTGAGGTGCAGGGCAGTGAAGGGTGAGCACACCCACATCTGGCTGGGACACGGGTGAGGTGCAGGGCAGTGAAGGGTGAGGCTCCAGGTGCACCGCGGGTGTGGGGCTGAGTCAGGAGGGCAGAGGGGAGTTGAACACCACAGAGAGGGGACGGTCCTCGGCTGGGCAGTCGCCATCTCTGCCTTGTCACTGCCCTGCCCTAACGCTGCCCGTTCTCTGGCAGCCCCAGCGAGCTGCCTGCCTCCTGCTGCTGCTCCTGCTCTGCTCCCTGGCCGCTGCCCGGCAGAACCTGCCCCACTGCTGCCGGCAGAAAACCTGCTCCTGCCGTGTCTACGACCTCCTGCACGGCATGGGCAACCACGCCGCCGGCATCCTCACGCTGGGCAAGAGGAAGAGCGTCCCCCTGGCTTTCCAGAGCCGGCTCTACCGCCTGCTCCACGGCTCCGGCAACCACGCTGCGGGCATCCTCACCATGGGCAAGCGCGGGCAGCACTCGGGCACCGCCTGCCCCGATGTGTTGGGCTGCCCTGCGGGCACGGTCGCGCAGCCGACGGCGGTGCCGCGGGGCGCTGCCACCAGCCCTGACAGCCCCAGGGAGTGCCAGGGACACTCAGGGAAGGACCTGAGCACCAGCCAGGGAGCTGCAAGGAGCTTTTACTGAACGGGATGGGGGCAGCGGGACACACAGAGGGGATCCCTGGCAGGACGGACTGCGGGGGCGCCCAGCCGGAGCTCGGTGTAAATAGCACTTTTAGATACCTCCTCCCTGCCCTGGCCCTGGCCCAGCCTGCTCAGGGCACCGCGGGCACCGCGGCCTTTTACAATAAATGGTAGCCTGATGTCAGCCGGCTCTGCTGTGTCTCTGGGGAGGGGTCGGGCGGGGACAGCTCGGTGCGGGGACAGCTCGGTGCGGGGGCAGCTCGGTGCGGGGGCAGCTCGGTGCGGGGACAGCTCCGTGCGGGGACAGCTCCGTGCGGGGACAGCTCGGTGCGGGGACAGCTCGGTGCGGGGGCAGCTCGGTGTGAGGGCAGCTCGGTGTGAGGGCAGCTCGGTGCGGGGGCAGCTCGGTGTGAGGGCAGCTCGGTGTGAGGGCAGCTCGGTGCGGGGACAGCTCGGTGCGGGGACAGCTCGGTGCGGGGACAGCTCGGTGTGAGGGCAGCTCGGTGCGGGGACAGCTCGGTGTGAGGGCAGCTCGGTGTGGGGACAGCTCCATGCGGGGACAGCTCGGTGTGAGGGCAGCTCGGTGCGGGGGCAGCTCGGTGTGAGGGCAGCTCGGTGCGGGGGCAGCTCGGTGCGGGGACACCTCGGTGCGGGGACAGCTCGGTGCGGGGGCAGATCGGTGTGAGGACAGCTCGGTGCGGGGGCAGATCGGTGCCGGAGCGAGTTCCTTCCCCCGCGGGGCTGGGACTGGGCTCATGCAGAGCGTTATCCGCGGCGCTGCCCTGGTGTGTGCCCGTGTGCGGTACCAGGACAGAGTTTAACCGAGGTGCGGCGCCTCCCGCTCCTTCTGCAGCCCCCGTGAGCCCGACAGGACCGGGGGTGAGCGGCTCCCGCGGCCGGGCAGCTCCCGGGGCCTCCCGGTGCGGCGGCTCCCGAGCCCCCCCAGGCCAGCCCGCCGTGCCCGCGGGTGCCCGACGGTGCCGAGGCCCCTCCCGGTGCCGGGGCGGGGCGGGGGCGGGGCGGGAGCCCCGGGCGGGCCGGGATCAGCCCGCGGTGCTGCGGAGGGGCCGGGGGCGGCGGAGGCAGCCCGGCCGGTGGGGCGGGACGATGCCGGTGATGAAGGGGCTGCTGGCGCCGCAGAACACCTTCCTGGACACCATCGCCACCCGCTTCGATGGCACACGTAGGGCTGGGCTGGGACCGGGGAGGGGCCGTGGGGGGAAACCGGGTGGGGGAAGCCGGTGCTCGGTAGGAGACGGCGAACGGGACGGGGATCGCCCGGCCCCGCTGATCCGGTGTGCCACGGCCACCCACGCGCTGTACGGGACCGTCCCGTATTGGGCTCGGTGCTTCCGTACTCCCCGTGCCCGTGTCCCGGGCCACCCCCGCTGCCGGTGCCGCTCGGTGTCGCCGCAGCCGCGCTCAGCACCAGGGACAGATCCCGGTGCCTGCGGGAGCACCGGAGAGGGCACGGTCGGTCTCAATAGACCCGGGCTGAGCCGGGATCCCCGGGCCCCTGTCCCGTGCCCGGGTGGTGCCGGTGTCCCCGGGCGCTGAGCTGCTCTCGGTGTCCATGTGCCGGGCCGGGATGGATTGAAGCCGGGATGGATTGAAGCCGGGATGGATTGAAGCCGGGATGGATTGAAGCTGGGATGGACTGAAGGTGGGATGGGTGATACCCAGGTACCACATGCCACAAGCACTGCTGGCACCATGAAGCCACCCAGGGATGGGCCGTGTTCATGACTGATCTCAGCTTCCCCTCTAAAACACCTGCAGCAGGTGTGTCCCGGGCCAGCTGCCTGCATGGCTGAGCATCTCCTCTCTTGCTGAGCATGATTGGCATGGAGATGGCACTGGGAGCCTGCAGCCACCTCGCAGGGCACTATCGAAGCACTTGGAGCACTCTGAGCATGTGTTTGCTGCCATGCTGAGATGCCTCCGAGCCTGGAGTGACACGGGGCAGCCCTGGGGGCACAGGGGGTCATTTCCCAGGGAAGCTGAAATTTGGGATGTTACCCTTGGGCTGCAATGTGTGAGAAATCTCTCTTCCCCAGTCTGAGCTGTGCCTGGAGGTGACAGGGCAGAGCCACATGTGCCTCATGGTGGTGATCCCACTGTCCCTCCAGAGGGGCAGAGCTCATGGATCAGGCTCTCCAAGGGAAACTGCCTGCAACACCAGGACCAAAACCTTGGGAATTTGCCCCAGAGAGCCTGGCATTGCCTCCAGTGCCCTGGCAGTCCCCTGTCCAAGGCTGCCCAACCACATCTGCCAGGCACTTTTAAACAGTGCGGGGCTTTGCGGGTTTGATGTGCCTCTTATCGGCTTTATCTGCCATGGAGAGGGGTTTAGGGCAGTGATACTCCGTGGGGAGTTAACCCTGCCTGTCCCGGGCAGCTGCAGCTCTGGGCCCTGGGGCACCCAACCAGGCACCGTGCCCACCGTGGCTGGGGTCTGCCAGCCTGCCAGGGCCGCATCCTCCAGCTCAGCCAGCCACTCCCAAATGCAAACCCTTGTTTTCTGTTCTAATAACACATCCTGGATATCACAATAATCCCGGCTTCCCAGAGCCAAAATCTGGCCTTAGTCACAGCTTCAGGCTATTTTTGCTTCTCCGAGCTAATCCTGGGCTGAGCTGTGCTGTGGTGGCCCCACGGCACCTCCATCAGCCAGGGCTGCCTGGGGTTGCCTCCCCTCCCTCCCACAGCCTCTTGCTGCCTTTGCCTGGCCCTGGCACCACTCTGCCCATGCTGTGCGGGTGCTGGCATCGCTGTGGGCTCATTTCTTCCGTGAGAGGGGCAGAGCACATCCACCTGATCCTGGCTGAGTGATACAAGGGTTCTGTGCTGGGCAGCACCAGAGACCAATTTGGGGCTGGGAATACCCTGTTTTGCCCGTGGTTCCACCACAATCTGTGCCAGCTGCACAGCCTCTTCCTTAGCACCCTGCTAACATGAGCCCCTCTGTCCCACTGTGGGGCAGGGCTGGGGGGCAGAACAGCTCCACTGTGGCTGGGCAGGGCACAGGGCTGGCAGCACTTTGCTGTGGCTGGTGCCACCTCCCACCACTGGGCTGGGTGATGCAGGGGAGTCTCTGTGCTGCTGAGAGGATGAGGATGCTGCAGTTCATCCCTGGCTGATGGCGCCTGGGTGCTGGCCCTTGATGGTTTTTCTCCCACCCTCTCAGCTGGTTTCTCAGCACCCCACACCTCTGGGGATCTCAGCACCACAGCTGGGCACCCCTGGGCTGGGCACGCCCAGCTGGGAGCTGCTGCTCCCACTAAGCTCCCTGAGCCCTGGCAGAGTGGCAGATGGTGAGGGGGAGGCGTGAGCTGCCTCGCGTGGGCGATGGGGGCCAGGAGACAGATCCAGCCTCCTTCCCCTTCCACTACACGGGGCTGGGGTCCTGCCTGGGCTGGACAGGGGGTGAACAAGCTCTGGGAGCATCTGGGGACAACCAGCAGCCACATGGAGCTCTGGCTTCACCTCCCAGAGCGGGGCTGGGAGTGTTGGGCTGCTGTTTGTGCCCCCTGAGGTGGCCCCAAGGCCTCGGGGGCAGCTGTGTCTCCTTTCAGACAGCAACTTCATCCTGGCAAACGCTCAGGGCCGCTGTGGCTTCCCCATCGTGTACTGCTCCGATGGCTTCTGCGACCTCACCGGCTTCGCGCGCACCGAGGTCATGCAGAAGAACTGCAGCTGCCGCTTCCTCTGCGGGGCTGACACCAGCGAGCCCGCCCTGCAGGGCATTGAGAAGGCCCTGGACAGCAGGCAGGAGTACCAGACTGAGGTCTGCTTCTACAAAAAAAGTGGTGAGTGGCACATGGGGCTGGGTACTGGCCACAGCTCCAGCTGGGATTTGGCCCCATCGTGGTCTCGTGGTGTCTCGGTTTGGAAAGACAGGAATCTGATAAGGAAGGCAGGAGCCTGCCCTGAAATGGAGAATGTGAACCCTCCCCACCCCTCTGAATTGCTATAAATTTTAAATTAAGGGGCTCTCAGTCAAAAAAAATATGGGAGCAGGAAATAACAGTTCTTTAATAGGGAAGAAAATAAAAGGATAAAATAAACAATGCAGTACAGTAAAACAACACTGACAGAGACAGAACCCAGCCTGACACCCTGTGGGTCAGGGTGTTGGCAGCAGTCCCATTGGAATTGTGGCTCAGCCCTCCTGCAGTGCCAGGGCTGGTTCTGCTGGAGCAGGGATCCTGGAGAAAGGTGCAGTCTCTGCCTCTGAAGATCCAGGGGAAGAAGAGGCAGCTGCTGCTCCTCTGGGAAATCCAGTGCAGAAGCTGTGCTGGTGTTCCAGAATCTCCAGATTATATCCAGGTAGGAATGCTTGGCTGGTATTCTAGAATCTCCAGATTATATCCAGGTAGGAATGCTTGGCTCCTCCCTCTGGGCTCACATCTGCCAATGGGATGCTGTAGTTCTTATCAGCCATGCAGGGACATTCCATAGCTGTTATCAGCAGTGTCCCCTCCCGAGGGAGGAGTGATTGTGATCACTCACAGAGAGAGATAAGGCAAACTGCCCACTTGACAAAAGACAGCTGCCATACAGCTGGTAATAGAACACACCTTGCCTTGCAATCTGGACCACATGGCCTGGGGGAAGCTGCTGAGCAGTGAGGGAGCTGCCCTGCCCTCACCAACTCTCTCCTGCACCCAGGAGCTGCCTTCTGGTGCCTGCTGGACATCATGCCCATCAAGAATGAAAAGGGGGAGGTGGTGCTCTTCCTCTTCTCCTTCAAGGACATCACAGAGAGCCGAGGCAGGAGCTGCCCTGGTGACAAGAAGGAGGGTGAGCCGTGGCTGTAGAATGGGAGCAGTGTGAGCAGTGGGCACGAGGCAAAGGGGCTCCCTGTTCCCTGGTGGGGAACAGCACTAACTCAGCATGCCTTGTCCACTGCAGAGAAGCAGAGGAGTGAGAAGCAGAGGAGCAAGAAGCCTGGGAGCTCTCACCTGAGGGCTGCACGGAGGCAGGGCCGGACCATGCTGCACCAGCTCAGCAGCCAGTTTGTCCGAAGGGACCGTGGAGAGATGAAAATCAACCGTGTAAGGAGCTGGGGGACCCTCAGTGCCTCCTGTGCTGGGGCTGTGGTGAGCTGGCAGTGCAGCAGCTCTCCTGAGAGCAGAGCCCAGCCTCACTGGGATGCTGTTCCCATGCACGTCTCTGCCTGGC